CTATTTCATATACGGTATTACTTAACTGAATTAGAGTAATTCAAACAAATATGAAATTTTGAAGACAGCCTATAAAAAATCAAATGTTTCCCAATTATGGGTTTGTTTTGAATTTTAAACTGATGATGGCGCTGTTGTCTCGCCCAAACGTTATATGAAATAGACGACATGAATATTTTTATTTCACGTTTTGATTGAAACCTAGGAAGGAAAATTATAATAATCATTACACACATTCAGGAAAATAACTCAAGATTAGGATGATGGTGGCCGAGGCGTTGGACCTAAGGACTACCAACTGAAGGTCCGAGGATCGAATCCCCAGCCGGGCACATGCAGATCAAAAAGTATCATCGAGCTGACAAAAATATATTGCAGTTGAGTTCGCAGCAGAACACATCTAACTACTGAAAAAGGTTCTACTGTGGAAAACCTGACCATTTAAAGTTGAAAAAGTGAGCAAAAAACTTGAAAATTGCACATCTGAGCGTCCCTACTTAAAGTTCATAAAGCGTTCAATTTAGAGTTAGGTAATTCACAGCAGAAAAATATTAATAATTAAAGGTGTGTTCGCAGTAGAACACCCATATTTTACATAATCAAGCAGTCTACTGTGGAAACCTGACCATTTAAAGTTGAAAAACTGCGCAAAAAAAATTAAAATTGCGAATCTGAGCAGTCCCTACTTAGAGTTCAAGAAGCGTTCAATTTTGAGTGTAATTCACAGCAGAAAAAGACTTGATAATTGAAGGTCTGTTTGTAGCAGAACATCCCGAATTTACATAATAAAGCAGTTTACAGTGGAAAATATGTATAAAAATCGTTTAATTTCGTGTTCAATTCACGTAAAGAAAAATTAATTACCTGGCTTTGTCTCTCTGGATTTCCATAATGAAAAGTGACTTCCGTTGTAGATTATCCGATTAATAAAACTTTTTTCTTATCGACGTTTCTCCCAAAAATGTCCTTTTCAACGACCTTTCGATGTTAGAAAGTTTACTATTCTCCCCTGCTTCAGTGGAAACAGTTTCAAGCCCAAATATTATGATTCAAATTATTGAAAATGTATCAACGGGAAACCAGCACTGACTAACTAAAACTAACCAATACTAATCAACCCAAAACTAATAAAAAAATAACCCAAATATCTACAGCTACATATTGTCTACTAAATACTGTATTATACATGTGGCCACCTGCATTAAAATGATGATAACGCACTGTGTAGCAGCAAGTTATTTTATATAGTGAAAAAGTGAAGAACCGTGAACTTTCGAGCGTCAAAAATTTGTTGAAAAGGACTTTTTGGAAGAAACGCCACTAAGAAAAAGTTTTAGTTAAGGGAAGTTTTACAATAAAAGTCGCATATTTTTCAAGAAAATCCAAAAAGATTCAAACTAGCTTATTTGCAAGAAAAACACCATGATGACCACCAACTGACACAAATTGTCAGTAACAGGACAATAAAAAGAGTAGTTCACCGCAGAACACACCGCTTTATATTTACATTTTAAATTTTCAAGTAAAAAGCTTCTACAGCAGAAAACGTGGCAAGTTAAAGTTAAATAAATGAGAGCAAAATATTTCGGGTTTGATACATCGAATGATCCCTATTGAAAATACAAAATCCGTTTAAAATAGAGTAAAATTTACAAAAAAAAAACATGTGTGACGATGCAATCTTTCTTATACGAGATTGAAAAGTGTAGTTCACAGTAGAACACACTCGCTTTATATGAACATTTTAGATTTTCAAGTAAAAAGTTTCGACAGTAGAAAACCCGGCAAGTTAAAGTTGAATAAATGAGAGCAAAATGTTTCGAATTTAGTACATCGAATGATCCCTTTTGGAAATGCAAAATCCGTTTAAATTAGTGTAATTAATAGAAAAAAACATGTATGACAACGCAATCTTTTTCACAAGAAATTAAAAAGTGTAATTCACAGTAGAACACACCAGTAAGTAGTAAGTTGTAAGGTCAACATATTTTTTTTTATTTTTTTTTGGTGGTACCAAAATTATCTCTAGTAATACTTCGTCCAGGTTTGCCAAACACGCATTTCTGTTTGTTGTTATTGTGGATTATTTAATGTTATTGTGAAACGAAATGCGAAAAATTATTTTCTAAAGTGGGTGCTATTATAAACGAGCGAAGAACTAGAATCAGTAAAATGCGTCTGCAAAAAATTTTATTCTTAAATGTTAATTAATTTTTAAATGAAAATCAGATTTTTAAACATTTTCGCAGATAAACCGTATTTTTTATTTAATCACTCTAGTTTTATTATTATCAGTTCTTTTGATCTTTAAGTAGTTACTTCTGACCCAGGTTTTGCTTTTCATTTTAGAATATTTTATTTTAAGTTTACCAATGTTAAGAATTATGTTTTTAATAAAAGAAATCATTATGTATCATCACTATTTCTACTATCCTCATCATTCTGCATTTTTAATGAAAAATTTAAAAAGTAACATGTTCCTTTTGAAACCGTTTTTTGAAATCTATCACCAAGGTGAAACTGGAACGTTGTAACCCGTTACAGAAAAATAACCGTTTATCACACCTCTAGGACACACTCGTTTTATATTTACATTTTAAATTTTCAAATAAAAAGTTTCCACAGTAGAAAACCTGGCTAGTTCATGTTGAAACACTGAGTGAAGATTATTTTCAATTCGAGAATTCAAGCCGAATTATTGATTATCCAAAAACCGTTTGAATTAGAGTATTAATCACAGAGGAAAGCCAGTAAAAATGACAAAAATTACCTAATGTGATAAAAACATTGTGATAGTTTGTAAAAGAACAGAAAAGTCTCTTGAAAAAACCTCATTTATAAACGTATTAAATCTGACTTAAAAATTTGAAAATGAAAAAATCGTAGCCAGAACCCAGAATCTCTCTGGTCGGTTTTCGGCGAATAAATATATGACGAGCATGTATATAATAAGACACAAGTTAACAATATGGGAATAAAAGTTCTACGTCTATATGACAACCAGGGAAAAAGTAATACCAAACTTTCCGAAGGCTGAAACTTTAAAAAAGCAACTTGGTGTACAAAAAAACAGCCCGAAATCTAAATGGTTTGGCCAGAATCACACGCAACGTTTTAACGTGCTATCCGCCAATACTGCAATAATCAATAAATAGCAATAAACAATAAAAAATGTAATTATTCGGACGGATCCCAGCCCTTGAAAATCCCTAGCATTTAGCAGATAAGAATCATTTAGCAGAAAAAAAATTGTTTAAATTTTTAAATTTGGAAAAAACAGTCCGAATTCTAAATGGTTTGGCCAGGATCACACGCAAAGTTCTAACGTGATATCCTCCAATAATGCAATAAACAGCCCCTGAAAATCCCTAATATGAATCGTTCAGCCAAATTGCTTAAATTTTTAACAAACAGGTGATTTAAACACCTCTGGGTAATCCATACTTATGCATGTATGCTAATTAATGAAAAAAAATTGGAAAAATAGCGCAAAATCTACATGGATTCAGGATCAGTCACAGTAAAAGTAATGCTAAACTTACCTAAAGCTGCTTTGTACCACCTGGAAAAAAAAATCTGCATTTTTACATAAACTTAGTCGAAAAGCCAATGCTTTGATTGGAAAGAAAAAGACATAAGAAACTGAATAAAACTTTAAATGCTTCTCGAAAACTCAACTCAGTTCAAGTTAAGGGTTTCTATATTAATAATCCTTCTTACCAGCTTTTTGCAAACTGCGTTAAACATCAAAAAGCACACAAAATGAGAATCCACAAAAAAATTTAAAATAAATGTGGACCGTTGTTGCCTAAATGACACTAAATTAGTACTGTTATCCCATTTATGAACAAATAACTGACGACCGATTTAGTCCCTTGCCCATAACAGACTGAACTGAATCAGCTTTCCGATAGAACTCGTGCGAAAATAAGGTTTTTATCACATAAAAACGCACCGAGGCTCAAAACTTACATAATGATAGAATTGTTTGCTCCGTTTGCTCGCGGGCCCTTTGGGTGACTCATTGTATTGCTAGCTGTTCGATTTCAGTTTTTTTCTTATTGACGATTTTCTAGAAATTTCCAGTCTGCGATCGAACTGGTTTGGATATTTATCGTAAACAAAGTTGCTTTCTCGGGTAAAGATGAACAAACATCGCCGTTCATTGGGAGACTTTTGAATGCTCAATTAAATAATCGCTCTCCGATCAATCGTTTGCCAAATTGTCATGAATCCACCAAGATCCACCAAAATCAAAGTAAACCATTGGCAAAATGTGCCATGATTTGTGAATGCTTCACTTTGATTGCACTATTAAGAGCGACGGAGAATTCGCACTTTTACTCAACTGCACGCTTTCCTTTAAAAATTCATAACTTTCCATTTAGAAGAAGTAGCTACTTAAAACTTTCACACTCTATAGAAGAATCATGTGGTTGAGAGCTCTTAAATTTCCACTTCAATCGCAAGAAAGTCTGATTTTTGCCAACGGTCTAAAAAATGGGTCAAAAATTGGCATTGAAGATGTAATAGCAGCAGAACACCCCACCCCTATTTTACATAGTAAAGCAGTCTACTGTGGCAAATTTGACTAGTTAATATTGAGAACAAAAGATTTTGAACTCGAACTGATCTTATTGATAGTGTGTATAAGAACCGTTTAATTTCGTGTTTAATTTATGTAAATACAAAAAATTTTGGCGCGATATTTGAATTTGAAATATTTAAAAGGAGTAGATAGAAATGTTGCAAGCAGGAATGTGAAGAAATAGCAGAAGTAATAAGTAGGCAAAATAAAAGAAACAAGAAGAAGAAACAAGTAGAAAAACAATACCCTAGCTTTGGAATTGATAAACAATAAAATAATCGAGTGAGGCTGTTCCAAGGAATAAAGGATAGCTATTTTAAACAACTACTGCGCAGGCAAACAAGGCAAATCAAAATGATTGATATATTTCGCTTAATAATCTATAATATTGTACACATCAGCACTTTTTAGTTGGGGAGAAGACATATTCTTATTGTACTCTGAGTCTTTCCTGCAAGTTATATAAGCGATTCTTTGAAAAACAAAGTCCACAAATTCAGCGGGAGTTGTATATGAAGCCTCGAGTCCCATCAATGGCCGGACGAAATGAGCATTTTTCCTAGCAAATTTTTCGTCAATTAACGTGTAGAGATCCTGAAAATTATTATCAATTATTCATCATCAGTAAAAACTCTTACATCAATGTGAATACACGTTCAAAAATCTTCAAACTAGAATTTAAATGGTGTTTGATCGCAATATCAAGGCAAACAGTAGTTTAAATTGGAAAATATTTAGTTAAAAATATAAACAACAATTTTCAGTTAGATGTTTAGATGGTAAATTTGTCCACTCATCTTCATATTTAGCGCGTATTGCAATTGTTGCATTTGGTATTTTCTCTACTAAAGTGGTTAAATAGCAAATTTTACATTTTCTTAAAATTGTATGTTTATTTTTCAAAAAACTGTATTAAAATATCATTAAAAACGACGCAGAAAGTTACCTCATCTTGACAGAACTCTAAATCATCAGGAATCATTTTCATTACAGTATCGTCGATGATTTCTTGTAGCAATTTATCAGAGTCGTTAGTCTGCTGCAAATTGAGCGATGTTGAAAAGTTGCAGTTAGAAACGTGTGGCATATCCTCAAACTCCTGATTAAACACCATTGATTCCGGAGTAATCTAGGCATAATAAACTGCTACTATTTTGCAATTGAGCAACAGCATGCAAGCTTACATCGTGTTCTCGAAATAATTCGTTAAATCGCAGAAGGATTTTATTAAGGTATTTTTCAGGTTCTTCGGACAGATTTTCAAAGCGAGCCACTTTAACTAGTGTGCTCAAACACCCAATTGCAGTTAGCTCGTTTAAGGCTTTATAGACTCGCTTCCGTACTTCCTGATTAGTCATGGATATTATCCGTTTTGAAAAAGTCACTGACGGGAATTTTCGATCCAACCAACCTGAAATAAAAGCAGGATATGGTCAGTAAAATCTACAAGAAAATGGATTTTTGCGGAAACATCTAAGGTTATTTGAGGCAATACTGAAAGCAGAACAATAGAGAAAAATGTTGTGTAAATATAAGACTGAAATGATTAAAGGAAAATTCGTAGATCAATTTTAATCATTGACGCTTTATACCTACAAAAAATGCTAGATTTTTATCTGAATTGTTTTCGATTTTTTCCGACATGTTTTTTTCAGTTCTTATAGAGCGATTGAAAATGAGATGACCGGAGAGTAGTAATTACAACATTCTGATTCTCTCTGATCAGACTGATATAAACTGATTCAAAGCTGGTGAACATTACGAATAAAAGCACTGCAAATTAAATTTTTAAAGGGAAAATTTACCTTGTTGCGATAAATGTTTTATAGTGATGGAGCACCAAAACTGAAGCCCTTCTACCTGGACTAAACTGGAAGCCATCGGCGACATAATCTGTTCCATACTCCGGTAGACTTTGCTCAAAACTGCATCTTCTAGCCCCTCTTGGTTTAAACATGCTATACGCACCAATTTTACCATTTCGGCCTTCACTAGCGGATCTATGTGAGTTGCTAGTACATCTAAAACTTTATTCTGGCGCAACAAAAAGCAAAATAGGGAATTAGAGGATTACGATTCACAATCATTTTTGCTTACAATATATGGATTTCTAGGAATGATGTTTTCTATATCGTTCCATTCGAACATCTCTTGGAGACACTTAAAAGCTGCCGCTCTCACTAAATGATGCTCGTCGTTTAGAGCCATTGTCGAGATAAGATGCGGCAAGGATGCCTCGATAAGTATGTGTTTGAATGAGGCAAAACCTACGACAATCCATAAATACTTCTGATTAATCCCAACAATTCGAATCTTACTTGTGTTCGCACTAATCGTAATGGTGTTAATGAGTTCCAGCGCGGATTTCCGAACTTCCCATTCAGTTGTGAAACATTTGTGATACAATGTAGGTCCTAATTCGGTTAGATCTTCGTTGCAGTCTATCAGTAAAGACATTGAAGGCGATAGTCGTCTTGCAATTACCAGCTCGAGTAGTTTGCAAGCTTGCACAACTATCTTAAACATAAAAGTGAGATCAAATGAAGGAAAACTCGAAATAAACTTGAGAACAACGTTCAGATAGTCCTGTAAAAGTCAAACTGATTTAAGCATTTTAAAACCTCAAGCTCACCCTATACAAAGCAATCAACGTTTTTCCGACGGATAACTTAAACATTTCAGTTTATTTGAAGCGAAAATGCGTCTCTAGGTTTTAAATTATTTAGTTTCCTCTACCACTGAGACTTACAGAGCAATTTAGATTAGAAAACCAGAGCATCAGTTTTTTACGCTTGTTACTGGATCGTTTTAATTTAGTTAATAGGAAAATGAGCCATTTTGAAGCCACCAGTTGTTTCGCAGTAGCTCCTATAAAATTGAGTATATGACGCAGATTAATTCAGATAAAATAATTATATTTGAGAACAGAAACAAGTGTCGGCCTCAATTTTTCGCACCTTTTAATTGAATAATCTAACGCGCTTTAACACGAAATTGAGTCAATTGAAAGGAGCCAACAAAATAATTTCTGACACAGATATTTATTTGCTTAAAATCTTCTTTCCTAAACCCCAGCGAATGGCAAACATTTTGCAACAACAAAAAATTTGCCGCGGAATTCCCAAAAAACAAGCTTGAACAATTTCAGTTTCGTTAAGTTGGAAAAATTTGTGGTTATTTCAATTTCCTCTAGGAAGTTTACTGTCGATCACAGTCTGATTTAGAGAAAGTTCTCAATTGAGCTACTAAATACGAAGCAACCCCAATGTTTTAGAGTTGAGGATTATTTTTCTCTTTTACTCTTTTTTGCCATTTTTACGGCACATATTCTCCTACTTGGGCGTCTGGTTATACAGTGTGTCCCACCGGGAACCGCCGCGATCGATATCTGACAAACTGTAATTAGGAGAAGTTTGAAAATTGGACAGTGTGCCAAGGTCATTGGGGGCAAGCGGTCCAAAATATTTTCAAAATGGCCACACTTTCGGTTATACCGGAAGTAGGTATCAACTTGCTTATTTTAAATGGGACACCCTATATAATTACAGTTTTTAATTCTACTCCAAATTCGAAATGTATTTCATGTATAATATCCTATACCTAAGTCTAAACGTTTTTCAGATATTTGAGATTTTATTTAAAAAATGACAGTTGCAGCCACTTAAATAATTATTCATTTTTCCTATAAGGGAATTTGTCATACTTAATTTGAGTCGCATTTATTGTTGAAAAGGACTTCCTTTAATGGAATTTCGGAAACATTTTGAAAACTATTAATACAAAGTATTAAAAAAATAAGTTTCAAAATACAGTTGAAAAAACCGCGCAAAATCAATTTTTTCAAATGGAAACCTCCATTTTTGATAATTTTGTACTATTCAGTATTAAAAATAAGTGTAAGTTTGTTTAACGATGTCTATTCCAAAAGTGTTTAGTTTTCGAAATATTGCCAATTAAATATTTTCATATGACTTTTTTGCAGCACCTTCTTTTAAATCCTGTCACTCTTTGTTGCCATGGCGAAAGTGGCCATTTTTAGTGCAATCGAATGCCAAAGGAATGCTGTTAGCTGTCAGTTACCTATTGAAAATAATTAATAATCATGCCAGGGCGCTTGAATTATACAAACTAACATTATTTAAACTTATTTATTATTTATGAAGAATGTGATAAAGCTATATCAAGAACATGTGACACATTTGCCATTCGATATCCACAAAAACAGAAGCCTTCATGCTGTGCTCTTACACAAATTATTGAACATTTTAAGAATTTTGAATACGTCTTAATACCAGTGATTGATATGATAATAATTAATGATACGTAAACGGTTCTTGATATAACTTTATCACATTCTCCATAAATAATAAATAAGTTTAAATAATCTTCGTTTGTATAATTTAAGCGCACGGGAATGATTATTAATTATTTTCGAAAGGTAACTGTCAGCTGTCAGCATTCCTTTGGCATTTGATTGCATTCAAAATGGCCACTTTTGCCATGGCAATTAAGAGTGACAGGATTTAAAAGAAGATGCTTCAAAATAGCCATATGAAAACATTAAATTGGCAATATTTCGAAAACTAAACACTTTTCGAATATACATCGTTATAAAAACTTATACTTATTTTTAAAACTGAATAAACTGATTTTGGGCGGTTTTCTCAACTGCATTTTGAAACTTATTTTTTAACACTTTTTATTAATAGTTTTCAAAATGTTTTTGAAATTCCATTAAAGTAAGTCTTTTCAACAATAAATGTCACTCAAATAAAGTATGACAAATTCCCTTAAAAGAAAAATGAATAATTATTCGAGTGGCTGCAACTCTCATTTTTTACATAAAATTTCAAATATATCAAGAACGGTTAGACTTAGGTATAGGATATTGTACCGTGGATGGCCGAGTATCAAACTCTTTCTTCAGCTTCCAACTTTTATTCCACTCGGTATAACTTTAACTACGGAACAGGAACAAACTAACTTCAAAATTACCGTCAACTTCACAAACAATAACAATAACAATAACAGGCGGAAAACTCGCTCCTCCGACTCACGGGGTTCAACCTCCTCTGCACCCGGTCGCTCCTGTCACTTCACTCCCCCCTCTTTGGTTCTCGTCGTCGCTTATATAGTTTCCTCCAGGTAACCCAGACGGTTCTCGAAATCTCCAAAACAGGTGCGAAACTTCCCGCTTGTCAGTGTCATATTTGACAGTAAATGGGGCGCAAATGGGGCTCCCATTTACTGAAATACCATGAATTTTTATTCCTCCATTTCAAATGTGAGTACCCCAGGCCATTTCCGTTACAATATCATACATGAAATACATTTAGAACTTGCAGTAGATTTCAAAAATGTAATAATATATAGGGTGTTTCATTTAAAATAAGCAAGTTGATGCGCACTTCCAGTATGACCGGAAGTGTGACCATCTTGAAAATATTTGAGGCGGTGTGCCCCCAATAACCTCGGCACACTGCCCAATTTTCAAATTTCTGCTAATTACAGTTTGCCAGATATCGATCGCGGCGGTTCCCGGTGGGACACCCTGTATTAATAAAAATTGTTTTAACGCAAAAACTTACCGGTGTTGGCCACTGATAAGCTGTGCATCCCGAATTCAGAATATAAGACAATTCCAATATTTTAACACTATCGGACCATCCTAAGTTAAAAGATTCGATGAAAATATACATAGCGGTCAAGAGTTGCAGCATGTAGGTTTTAAGTCCGGCTTCAGGGGCTTGTTGCTGACTTACGACTTGTTTTACATAGTCAACTGTATCCTGCATTGAGTAAATGAGCGTTTCGAAAACGGTGCCCAAATGCTCTTTTGAGTACAGATGTCGCGAGCGGATTATGACTTTCACCGAGTCGCTGAATGCCTCAAAAGGAAGCAAAGGAATGTTTTTCCGGATTTTTTGCCCTAAAATTCAATCAGCATTTCAGTATAAAATATTATAGGAAAGTGCAAGAAACTTACCAACTTGAAGCGAGTTGAAGCTGAAATTTTGAACCAGTTTTGAGACGTACGTCATTCGCATCATATCTAAATCGAGATTTTTGAGCAACTGATGTCCCAACTTTTCCGAGATCAGCAAAATAAGCTCCAATTGCAAACCGACAAGTTCATTTTCAATATCAAGATTTTTTCCTTTCAGTGTATATTTTGGCAGCTTTTCCGATATGTTTTTCAGGTACTTCAAGGCGTAGTAATACAGCTCAAACACCAAATCTATCAACCCTAAAATGTTAAATAATTAAGCTTGTGAATGGTGAAATAAATTATATTGAGCTGAGTTGAGCACAGTAGGAAATCTGCAGAGTTTTGAATTTGAAAAACCAAAAATACTTAAAGACACGGAAGACGTATAGAACACGTTCCAGTAAGAATTCATAAACTCATTTTTCTGGTTTTCGTGTTCTTATTTGAAAAAATTCTGCAACTTTCCTGAGCGACTGTGTTTGGATTTCCACGATTTAATTTGTTACTTTGCCCGATTCTTCGCATTCGTTCTTCAAAATACACTTTTAGCGAAATAATACAACGTTCATCTCATTATTAAACATTTGGAAGTCGTAATTAAGTCGCCACAAATGGGCCACTTAGGTTGACGTCATTTTAACGTATTTTTAACTTGTTTGTCGCATTTAAACGACCTTAGCGCAATGAAGAAATGCATAGGACGTAAACAAAAAGTAGTTTTAAACTATAAAAATGTGCCTTTTAAAATTATACATTTTAAAAATTGTATATCTATCAGCAAATTTTTAGCGTCTATTTTTCGTTTCGCTCTATTCATCCGGGATAGAAGGCTAAACCACAAACGCTTTCTCCACAAATGACAATTTTGGTTTTTTTGTCCCCTTAATTTACGTAAAAACAACAAATAGCACATATTATTTATTTATTGGTAAAATTTGCGTAAACACCAGTCTGATCTAGCCAATTCAAGATAAACTCTATCCTATAAATAACTCTCAACGACTTGGTATAAACACTATTAACCGGAAATACTACACTTTATTTTCATTAAATTTATATTTAAATCCCAACTTTTGATGCAGGTACAGGGTGGACCACCATATTTTTGAACTTTGAAAAACTGTAAAAAGCTCACTTGCTAAAACTGCTTTGAAGTATACAAGAAAAACATTTATAATATAACACAGTGCGGTTTATAAGTTTTTGTGTGGCAATTTTTGACTGAAAAGTTTTCTATACTCAAAATAATAGCATTGCAAAATACGCTATTTTATGGATTTCCAGCCAATCATAATTTTCTGCGGAAACTTGAGCATAAACAGTTAATTGTTCTAAACAATGCAGTAAAAATAATTACACTTGATCTGTATATAATTTAATTCTATAAACATAGGAAAGCGTTTTTTAAGTACTTAGATATTCACATTCTTCATGCCAATGGATGGACTGGTCAGGTATCTATTACCTTTCAAAAAAACAACTTATTTACTACGGAAGTGGCATTTTTAAGATAATTGATTCCTCACATCCTGCGTAATTCCGTTATTAATGATTGTTTGTAGCTTTCCAGTCGAATAATTTCCTTATTTGCAGATTCGGCATCAGATTATTTAACTGAACCTTTGCAAAAATATCAACGAAATCTTTTAAATTTAATGTAATTTAATGAAGAGAAAAACTATTTCTGTATGTCTGGTCAAGGAGGGAAGGTACTAAACGACGTCATTCTGAATTTCCACAAAGAAAAGGGACAAATCTAGGGGTAAAATTATTGTTGATTTTTAATGATACACTTTCTACCTATGGAAAAAAATTATTTCGAAAAATGCTCGGACACGTAAACACTATATTTTTATAATAGTTTAAAATATTGTTTTACTAAACAAAAACGGGATCCTGAGCGGAAAGTTTCATTAAAAAATGCGGCTGCTGAGATTGAAATATTTCGGCAAATACACAATTTAAATAAATTTAAAATACTCATATTGTTCTGCGGTTTCACAAGTTTTCTCAATTTTTTTTTATCAAAATTTATTCATGAATATATTCCAAGTGCTATATAATAATGAAGTAATACATTAAAAATTATATTGTTTTCTATTAAAACTTACCTTAATCTTCCCATAGAATTGACTAGTGCTATGAAATATAAGGCGTGTCACAAATAAAACATAGACTTTGATATATTGAAAAGTACAAATTTTAAATTATATCCGTTTCCCATGGAATCAATCTTAAAATAAATTCTGCTCTGTCGTGACTTAGAACTAACCTTTATCTGTTTCAGTCTCTGCTATTCTCAAAAAGCCGGTGATAGCAAGGGGGTCTTCATTAATGGACTTAATACCATCGAAAATATCAGCGAGTTTAAAAAAAGACAAAGTTAACACTATTCGATCTAAGCTAAGACATGCGACTTTATCGTTTGTAGTTTTCGAAATCGTATCACTTGCTACATCAACCTAAAACAAAGGTATTAACTCTTTGTTAACGCGCTTTGCGGCAACTTTTCTACCTCAAGATTAACCATCAAATGCAACACTCCAGCAGTATACGCTTCGAGTAATCTTTCCTGGATTTCAACCAAACACAATAAGCTGGGCTTTAGATCTTGTATCATTTGAAAGTGTTCTTTTGGACTGTTTGATCGTGTTGCTTCGATTATTCGGGCTGAACTTAATAGTGGTCCTGCTAATACATGTAGAACTGAATAGCATGATTCACTGTTAAAACTATGCATTTTGTCTAGGAGTTTTGTCAGGAATTTGTACCTATAAGACACCACCCGAATTAGAGGCCAGTAATCTTCCTAATAAAACCGAAAGTCTCACCCAATGGTAGTAACTTCCTCATCTAGTCCCTGATGGTCTAAAGTCACTTTATAGGCATATGTCCAGTATTTCGTTTCCATCAGTCCATTAATTCCGCTCTGATGCTCCAGGAACGAATCCAGAAGCTCCAGAAACAGGATTTTCGTCTCTTTTTCAAAGGGAATGTCGGTGGGTTTTGAGACGTACAGCAATCCCGGCAGAACATTGTTTGCCGTTAAATTTATAAAACAGGTTTCGTCTCTTGAGGTGAATTTGGCTAAAGTCAGTAAAAACCTAATTTGGCTTTGTCTAGGCAAAGTGGCTCTTTTCGATAGGAAGTTTAGCGACTCAGATAGGCATTTTTCGCATTGCTCTTTGTCTCTATAGTTTGTTTCCTGTTCCACTTCATTATCTGCAACAAAAAATGTGTTTTCAAAGCTGTTACATGCTTTACTGTTTTTAGTGGATAGGCGGCAGTTGAGCCACGGGCTTGATTGGACTTTTTTAAGCCAGGCAAAAGAACATGTCAATAATACAAGTAGACATGCATTGTATTGCAATTAGCAATAGCGATACTGAAAGAAATATAAAATATTTGATATTTACAATCACTCTGTATGTAAACTTTGATAAAATTTCCGAATCAAAACATATTTTTCAAGCATTCGCTTATGATTATTTTGTAATTTAAGATTAAAGGCGCTTGCCATAGTGCAATCAGCATTAGCCTTTGACTAAAAATATCCGTTCATTAACCAGCCGATGATGGCAACATTTCGGAAGGCTCCCAACACTTTTAAATTTCAATTTTTTTGGTGCAAATGTATGAAGTACAAAGCTTTCTATTCTCCCAAAATGGTCCTCGTATAGACCTGCAGATTCCAATTTAAAATAGTCAACATATTCAACAGGACGGGACAACATTTAGAAACTTATACAGTGTCTCAAACAAGACACTTTTTATTCTTATATTGAATTGGATTTGAATTGAATGGATTTGAATTGAATGGATTTAAATCTCAAAATATGAACAAATTCATCTTCATATTGGTGCGTTTAGGCAAATAACACTTAATTGATCATCAAAATCGGAAAATGTATCAAACTGTATGTATAAAATCAGCACATGCAACTTAAAAGACATTGTACGTACTTTCCTGACTGTGTTTCAATTCCAAATTAAAATCAAATCCTGGGTTCTTCAGTCATTTATTGTCTATTTATCAATTAAAAAAACGTTTCGGTGTTTTCCACCATCATCAGTTTCAATGTGTAGCGTTGTTGCTACTTTACGCCTTGTCATGTATTTGGAGTATTTACTCAATTTTTTTATTTGGAGTATTTATTCAATACTCCAAATACATGCCAAGGCGTAAAGTAGCAACAACGCTACACATTGAAACTGATGATGGTGGAAAACACCGAAACGTTTTTTTAATTGATAAAT